CCTCCTAAATTTGAAACCAATCTGAGAAACGATTTCAAATTCAATTTGAAGACCTAATTTCAGGAGTTTGAAAGAAAGGGATGATAAAGAGCCTTATATAGAAAGTGGGCTGATTCTGTTACAGTCGAGACAATAATAGGTCAAAGAGGATATTGGGAAATTTTGTATTCACAAGATACAGTGATGGTGCAGATTATTTATGGCCTTGGGGGGCAAGTTTTCAATCAATCGTTTTAGAGCAGATTATAAACAGGAAAGGGGAAGAATTGGAAGTATGAGAAAAACTAAAAACAAATTTATTATGATTCTCAAATGGGTCGTTTTCTATTTACTTATGGCTCTGCTCAAGTATGAATCTATAATTTCAATCAAACCTGTTCATTCATTTGTTGGCGCATTCGAGCTCCCCACGACAAATTGTGTTTCGAATCCTTATCCATGCTTCTTTTCTTCAATTCTGAGATCTGAGCTTTCCAACAACTTTTCCATGCACTTTTGTCCGGAACTCCCTGGATTCAAGTCAAATTGAAAGATTGAGTTATGACATTCAAGTGGAAGATCAAAAATGGCAGGTCCCAGGTGGGATTAACTCAAGTTTTTGTTTGATACAGCGGGGAAAGATTTCTGGGAGACGTTGACAAAGTAATTTCAGACTTTCTAGAAACACAATCAAATGAAGTAGGAAAGAAATTCCATATTTGGAGAAAGTTGTCGACAAAACAGTAGATTAGCCAATTGCAATCGATCTCTTAGTCTTAATTACAGAACAAAGAATAACAAAGAATTGAATAGCCAATTGAATACCCTTGCTCCAATAGGAACGGTACCGCCCTCCACCATTCCTTCAGCAGCTTTTATCAGATAGAGTCAGAAAATTACCAAAGAAAGAAACAAAGAACCAGAAGCGGACGATTCCTTTCCTCACACCAAAAATCCAGAACCAAAGGAGCATCTAACAAGAAAATATCCTTCACTCATACCAATTAAACATGAAACCACCTCAAAAACAAGGGCAAACACAAAATCAACACAGAAGATTTCAAAATCCACCAACAATCAAACGCAATTTCCCCTAAAATACTGAAATACAAACGAGAATCGATATACAAATTGAACCAATACCTCATCGACATCGTATCGTCTCCTAGCAGAGAACGCGACTTGAAGGCCTCCAACCATATCTCTGTCATACAACGCTCTCCTCCTCGGATCCGACAATGTCTCGTACGCCTCCTGAACACGAATGAACCTCTTCGTATACTCCTCTGCCCGGCCCGGCGGCGACACATCCGGATGGTACTTCCGAGCGAGTTGCTTGTAGGCGCGCTTAATTTCCGCCAAGGATCCAGACTCGGAAATGCCTAGCAAATCGTAGAAGGATCCATCGGCGGCCTCGGAAGAGGCGATTCCTCCGTTGAACGAGGCCTTTGCTCTAATAGAAAGTGACGGCAAGCGAGTCGAATTGCACGGCGGAGTATTGGGGAAGAAAACCCGAGATCGCTGGCCGGAAATTTGCCGCCGGCCGGTGATACTAGGGCTGGAAGGGATTAAGATGCGGTAATCGCCGACAGAGTAGGTAAAATCGGAGCACTGCATTTCTCTGTTTTTTCTCCGTCTCTCTACCGCTGTATTCTGGTATTTATAGGAGGACGTCAAGCTGAGTCAGAATAAATAAAATATTCATTTTTTTATTCTTATTTTCTATTTTTTTTAAATATATATTTCATAATTTTATTCCTATATTCTCCCTTTTTAATTTCAAAGTTTTCATTTTATTTTATATTTATAAAAAATAAAAAATAAAAAATAAAAAACACTATTTTTATTTTGTTTTCAAGCGATAATTACTTTCTTTTATTTTATATAATATTTGAAAATTAAACACTTGGACTTCTCCCGTCTATCTATTTTTTAAAAATTAAATTCCAATTTTGAAAATAAATTAATAATAATTTTTTATTTTTTATTTTGTTTTACCCTAGCAAAATTTTCACTATGGATTTTTTTTGGTTTTGTTACCTAATTATATTTGCTAAATTTTGGAAATAAAATAATAATAATAATATTCTTTTAAATTTTATTCCATATTAAACTATTTTTTTATTTAAAGAATTAAACACAAGGTATTTATTTGTTTGTTTCTATTTTCTTTATCTATTTTTATCTATTTTTTAAAAATTAGGCAAAATTTAAAAAATGAAATAATAATAAAATTTTATTCTTATCTTATTTTATATATATATATATATATATATATATATATATATATATATATATATATATATATATATATATATATATATATTTTTAGGTTTTTTCTTTACTTGTATTTTTTAAATGGGAGGTTGTGCACAAATGAAATTCTTTAAATTAAAGAGAACACGTCTAAGTTAAATAATCAAAATATCGAGGACTAAAATGAAAATACAAAAAATTTAGGACTAAAATAAAAATACAAAAAGATTTAGGACTAATTGAATAATAAAATTATTAGTTAAAATGAGAATTTGAGCGTATCTTAGTTGATAAAAAGCATATTACGATACCCATTTAGTTATAAAAGTAGAAGCCGAGGACTAAATTATTAAAAATAGTTAAAATAATATAATATGAATGAGTTCTCACCATCTATCTCTTTGCGGGCACAGCGCCTCGCTGCGCTGCTAGTACACTGCTACATGTCTGGGTCTGATACCATTTGTAATAGCTGAAGTCCACTGTTAACAGATATTGTCCGTTTTGGCCCGTTACTATCGTCGTCAGCCTCACGGTTCTAAAATGCGTCTAGTAGAGAGAGGTTTCCATACCCATATAAGGAATGTTTGAAAATCTCTCTCCAACGGTTGTGAATTCTCACAATCCACCCTTTCGGTGGCCCAACGTCCTTACTACCAGACTGTCCAGTATCTAATTCTAATATCATTTGAAAAGCCCATTTCTTGCAGATATTGTCTAATTTTGCCTGTTACGTATCATCGTCAACCTCACAATTTTAAAACGCTATTAGGGAGAGATTTTCACACCCTTACAAGGAATGTTTCGTTCCTCTCCAACGATTTGACACTGATCTAATTTTTCCACCGAGTTAGTATTATAGTTTTAAAATTTTATAAAAATTAAAAAAAAAATACTATTATGATTATTGCATCAAAATTTGGTCGATTCAACTGCTTACGATCAAATCAAGTTGGCAATAGAAGAAAAAAGGGTTGTCAATAGAAGAAAGGGGTAGGTGCATAATTAATTTATTATTTATAAAATAATAATTTTATTTATTTCAAAAGTAAATAATAATTATTAAAAAAATAAAAACAATAGTGGAGACACTTGAATTTTTAATTTGATAAGATTCAAAGAATCATTAAAGAGAAACATAAGAAAAAGTATTTCAAAAAATAAATAATTTTTTTTTGTTATTTTTAAATTAATTCATGAAATTTTACTTTAAAAATTTTCTCCAAATATATCAAATTAATAATAATAATTTTAATGTAATAAAGAAATAATATCTATATATTTCTAAAATAGGGATTAATTAATAAAAAATAATATTTCTAAAATTTAATATTAATTTTAATTTAACTAAAAACATATCAATAAGACGAAAATCAAGATATGGAGATTAAAATAATATTATAGTGATTCAAATTGATTTAATAAAATTGTATAAATATATATATATATATATATATATATATATATATTTTTCGTTTAATAATTTTGACGCTAATTAATATTTTATCTAATAAATATGCTCGAATTAATAAATAGTTTAAATTATATATTTATGTCGTATTTTTTATTTTTTAATCGGTAATTATAAAAAAAAAACACGAAAATGCTAAAATAGAATTGTCAGAATACACAGCAAAAATTATAAATTATAATAAGCTAAAAATAAATAATAAAGTAATAAAAATGGGAAAAAAATATAAAAATAGGGAGTCCCAACTTAGAGATTTATTTCCCTTAAAACATTTTTTAGAATTAAAAATTGTAGAATCTTCCTATAAAAATAAAAGTGATAAATTTTAATATTGTGAAATTTAGAATATATTCCATCTTTAAAATTAATTAAAATTTTAAAATTTTAAAATTTTGAAATTTAGTATCTATAATTTAAAATATTAAAATTAATTTCTATAATGATTCTTAAGTTTCACAATTTTGAAAATTAGAAAAAATAATAAATTTTTCTCAATTATAATTTAACTTTAAAATATTATTTTTTAGAGTAACTTCTTAATTATGGATTTTGATAAACACAAGATTGAACGCTCAAATACCTGTTTAAATATGAATTAACTCTATCAATCTTGACCTTTCATCCATCTTTGTTGACGGTAAAAACATAAAAAAAAATAAAAATAAAATAAAGTTAGTCTTGAAATTAGAGACGTCCACGAGTACGTGGTGAGGATGAAGATTCTTCCTCCCACACACGTCACAATTGCACTTTTGAAGGTAGCGGACGGTAGCGGACTTGCAATTGTGTGATACTCACTTTTCAACGACAAGTGAGCTAAGCCAATTCCGATATATGCTCGAACCTCTGGCTTCGATTTTAGAAAACGAGGGCAGAGAGAGATTTTCGAAAGAGAATTTTTTGAAAAAGAAGTTATATACGCAAGCAAGAGAAAAATAACAACTGCTCACACAGTATATAACCTTGGTATATATATATATTATCTCCCTCTCCTATTTCAATTTTCACGCCGAAATTCTCTATTATATTTATATAAAATGTAAGGCGGGTGAAAATTTACAAGGCAATTGAGAGTGATTTCTACTTAAAATTTAATTTAAAAAACATATTTAAAAATAGCTTAAAATTTAAATGATTTGAATATTGGATTAAAAAATAAAACTAATTACATGTTAAATTTTTTGATTGGCTGGAGATCAGATTGGCTTACAAGCTACAATGGGCCTTAATGTAACAGATCATAGCTTTGTGTTGTCGTTTTCGTCTTCTACTCGCGCTATTTTGCTTGTCTGGAGCGTCAACTCGATCACAATCCTCACGAGTTGATTCTCTTTCGGCACAGTGATTCTCATCCTATTATCATCGAGACGAATTTCTCAATCCTTCTCAACAAATTCGAACATAGAAGCTGAAATTCGTCAGTTCTGAAGCTCTAGGGTGATTTTGGAGCTTTTCACCAAATGCATCTTCAAGCTCAAACTCTCACGAATCAGTTCGCGCCTTCTGTCGCTCCATTAAAATCAACCTCGAAATCTCGATTCGCTTATCCAAAAGGATGCCGATTTCGTAGATTTTCGTTTCGGGCTTTGAAATGTTCTGTTTCGGCGATTTCTGAGTTGGCTCCGACGGAACTGCGGAATGTGAAGCCGTTCCCGGCTGAGGTTTCGAGGACAATTATGGAGTTATCTTCTGTTGGAACGCTTTCTTCTTTGAGCCATGAGGGATGGCCTCTCGGCGTTGGCGTTCGATTCGCTGTTGACCAAGACGGTACGCCTCTTTTGAGCTTGAATGAATCTATGCGGGAGTTCTCCATCGACAGGAGGTCCAGCCTCCATGTTCAGGTTCTTCATTTTATTGAGATACTAACGATAATGTTCATTTTTATGGATATATACGTCGTATGTACAGGCTCCAAGTGGAATTATGTGAAAATGAAGATGAAATCTCTGAATCGACTCAAGTTTATTTTGTTTCCGTTTGAATTCATGAATTGAAAGTTGTTTATAGATATTAAAGAAATATAGAGATTGCTGTCACTAATTTACATGTTTCTGATGTAAACTTTCTTATGTTTGCCATTCTTCTTTTGAGCAGTTGGAACAATGTGGATTGCGGACTCCTCAGTGTACAATTCAAGGAAGTCTTGATAAACCAGACAACAAAATGAATTTGAAGGTACAATTATCCGCAGTCCCCGGATTTTCCTTTTAGCATTTTTTTTAGGAATTAATCTGTTGCTACCGGGCTGAATTCTGGCTTAGCTAGCTAGAACTGTGGTCATTGTTTGCAAGTTACAGTGGAAGAATTATTTCGTTCCTCCTTTAACAAGATTGCTCTAAGCTATTAGTCCTCATAAATGATTGTGTTTTACTATTAACGATAGTTTATGCTTATGATGGGAACAATACTATTTCTAATGTAAAGTGGCTATTGTTTTGAAGAATTTTTTTATGCCTGAGTTGGTTCAGTGTTTAAAGAGAAATCTGAAAATTTGATGCCTTTCTAAATCTGGGTTGAGTGCAAGGTTGAATTTCTCTGGATTTCATACTTCGAAACCTTCGATGGAAAATCGATGGAACTAGAACTATGGAATCCAATTACAGGAATGCATTTGTAGAAGGAACTTTTGTTTTTCAAAAGGAGGTCGTTTAACTCAATGTTTAGCTATTTTTTTTTCAGTTTACCAATTTAGTTTCTATCCTTTTTTTGAATAGATGTCATTGAAGTTGAAACTAATAGTGGAAGGAGAAATTTTCTTTGGAAGGGAAGTAAGGAAAGGTCGATCATTTAGTCAGTTCGAACACTGTTTCAAGAAGCCTCTACAAAATGGAGGATAGGAAACAGGCAATCTAGAGAAATAATGGGTACTTTCTACGTTGCTTTGGAGATATCCAAGAGATAGCAACGTGTTGAGGAATAAAGTGGTTACTGACATTTATGGTAAGGAAGAAGTGGTGGTTCACAAAACTAAGGAAATTTGGTTTTTCTGGAAGCCTTTGGTGGGACTTGAAGGTTACATGGACATATTTTTTACTTCCCAGTAATAGAGTTGGGAATTGATGAAAGGACTTTGTCTTGGGATTACATTTGGGTAGGAAAATCACTTGCCATCTTGTAGCTTCCTCAGTATTTCAAGGTGCCCGACCTAAAAATGCTTATGCTCGGGACCAGCGGACCAGCGGGAAGTTAATATCAAGTTGTGGAGAGTTCTAGTAAGAAGGTAACTAATAGATGAGGAAAAGGAGAGGGAGAGGTTTTGTACAAAGTCTGCATAATGTACAGCCGGGTTGTTTGGAGGACAAAAGGATTGTGAGATCTCACTTCGGTTGGAGAGAAGAACAAAACATTCCTTATAAGGGTGTGGAAACCTCTCATTAGCAGACGAGTTTTAAAACCTTGAGGGGAAGCTCGGAAGGAAAAGCCCAAAGAAGACAATATTTGCTAGCTGTGGGCTTGAGCGGTTATGAATGGTATCAGAGCCAGACACTGGATGATGTGTCAGCAAGGGGCTGAGCCCTGAAGGGGGGTGGATTGTAAGATCCCACATCAGTTGGGGAGGAGAACGAAACATTTTTTATAAGGGTGTGAAAACCTCTGCCTAGCAGACACGTTTTAAAACCTTAAAGGGAAGCCCGAAAGGGAAAACTTACAGAGGGCAATATCTGCTAGCGGTAAGCCTGGACCATTTCCTGCTTCCTTTAGGCTCATTCAGTAAAATCACTGGGGAGCTTTCTAGATCGCTTTTTTCTACCAAGTGCCAAGATTTATCAAGTCATTTAGGAAATACTATGCTCAAAGAAGTTAAAATTTCTGGTATGGACTGTATAAAGTCATGTAGTAGTTGTATTGCAGATGAATTGCAACAGAAATGCCCTTTCGTGGCTCTGAAAGGAGTTGGGTATGTACTGTAAAGTCTTGTTCTTTTAGTGTCTGTTCCTCTGGCTCCATAATGGCGTGGGGGTGCTACCCAAAGTGCCATCTTCACTCGATCCTCCTTCCCTCTTCTGACAACAAGATGTTGCAAGATTTTTTCAAGTTTTGTTTTCTTTTCGTTCTTGTACTTGTGATTTAGTAGCTTTTGGATTGTTATACTAGCTATTGTTCTATAACTGTTCAATATCGTTCTTGTGAGATCACACATCGGTTCGAGAGAGGAATGAAGCATTTCTTATAAGGGTGTGGAAACCTCTCCCTAGCAGACGCGTTTTAAAAACCTTGAGAGAAAGATAAAAAAGGACAATATTTGCTACCGGTGGGCTTTGACTGTTACAAATGGTATCAGAGCCAAACACCGAGCGGTGTGCCAACAAGGACGTTGGGCCCCAAGGGTGATGGATTGTGAGATCCCACGTCGGTTGGAGAGGTGAATGAAGCATGTCTTATAAGGGTGTGAAAACCTCTCTCTAGCAGACACGTTTTAAAACCTTGAGGGGAAACTTGAAAGGGAAAGCCCGAAGAGAACAATATCTGTTAGCGGTGTGTTTGGGCTGTTATAGTTCTATACTCATAATATTGGATCAACTCTTTATTAACTGTGATGCCATGTTTTTCAGCGGCTTCATACTACATGGAAAAAGAGATTTGGAGAAGACATTAATGAAGACCTTCTGTATATTGTTAGTGTGGAGAGAGTACTTCAGATAGATGACTTTGGGGAGGTACAAACGTCGTTTTCTGCACTTGTTGCTTTTACGCAGCGTGCCTAGTCCGGGACGAGTTTTGACGCACTAGAACATAGAGACGTTTGTTCGAATAATAATCTAATACTTCATACTGTTTCAGGTTGGGGTTCTGGTAAACTCTTCAGATTATAAAACTGCAAGCCCAGATCCTCTTCGAAATTTTGCAGAAAGACTAGTGAACGAGATAAACACGAACAATGCCGAAGATGTTAATCGCTTTTGCAACATATATGCCGATTTGAACTTTGAGGTTTGCTACTGTCGTCTTTGGGTTCTTATTTGATTCTAAACTCCCCAGGAGATCTAGTTTTATTCACATTGCTTGTAGATAGCGTTATTCATATTGAAATTTATAAGCACACTTAAATTCTATGGGCAGATGGTTCATGCAGGCTAATCAATCTTCTTTTAACTCGTCGTCCAGATCCCGTTATCACATAATAATCCCGAAATCCCTTTCTAGATAGAATTCTCACGGTTCTCCATTTTTCTTGGCAGTTTACAGAAGCAAAGCTGATATGGATTGATCGGTTAGGCTTCGACCTGCGCGTATTCTCTCCTCAAAAGGGGACGTTTGAATTTCGAATTCCGTTTCCGAGAGAAGTTACAGATGAGAAGGGTGCGAAGTCGACGTTTAACGGCCTATCCCAACAGGCTTGGGAGGTGGAAAGGAATTTTCAAGCTCTGGATTTTGAGAAGGTGAAGCAATTCAAGATGGTAAGACCATTGCATAGTTTAGAGTAGCTATGATGTGCTTTCTTTTTGCTCTCTTTAAAGCTTGTGCCGTTTATGAAAGAACTGCGTGTTGCTTAATGTGTGAGTATGAGAAGTTGAGTTATGTTTTGACCAAATTGTCTTAGGGTAGAACTGAATGAATAGCTTGTTTCTCATATTCACAATTTTTTTATTTAAAGTGTTTGGTTACACTTTTTCGTACATTCATTTGCTTGGTTTGCCTCGAGTTGCTAAAATAGATGTCTATTAAACTCTGTAAACTATTAACTTCAAATTTGTGTTTAAGGCACTATGACCACTCACGATGGTCGGTGTGTTGGTCGTTGGTGGCGGTAGGTAATATTGAAAATGGGTGGTCGTCAATGGTCAGAGGTGGTGGGCGACAATGGTCGTTAGGAGTGAGGTGGTGGTGGATGACAACAAAATTTGGTTATCATCAACGAGCTACGGTGGTCGTCAATGGAGAGTGAAGGTAGTGTGAGCATATTTTGGTCATTTTCATATATTAAAATCGAGAATATTATAATTTTATTTTTTTATGGTAATTTTAATTTAATATTTCGGCCTCACCCATTAAAATATCTAATTAAAATTTGTAACAATAATTACTTTTAAAAAAGATTTGAAAATTTAGTGTAAAGATTGGTTAGATAATAAATAAATAAACCCAATCCATGGGACTTGTTAAATAAAGATCTAACTTTGTTATATATAATTGTATTCTAAACCATTTTTTTTAAATTAAAAATAAATTCGAGTGAAATTCAATTTTAATGAATGGAACAAACAAATTTATTGGATATTCATTTATTTAAATTCAAACTAATTTAAATAAGTTCTTAATTTACTAGAAATTAGATTGGATTAATCAAAATTTTGCAATTTTTAATCAAGCGAAAAAAAATCTTCGAGTATTTATCTATTTAATAATAATAATAATAATAATTTTTTTTTTATATATATTTTAAAAATATTTATAAGAAAAAAAAAATTTGTAGGTAATATAAAAATATAATATAGAGAATTATTATTAAAAACGAAAGCTGAGAGCGGAGAAAAATCCGGGGTTCAGGATAGCCACTTGTCCTCCTCGTCCCTTACACTCCAATCGCGCGCCCGTATCTCAACGCCGTCGCCGAAATAGTTGTGTGTTCCTTCGACATTCTTCGTAGATAGCGCGCCATTGGCTTTCGCATCTTCGGATTTCCATCAGATCTAGGGCTTCTGCCGATCTGTTCACTTGTTTGTTCCATGGGAAATTAGGGGATTACTCTCTCCGTTGTTCTTTAATTTTTCCGGAAAGTGCAACGATTAATCTTCGTTTTTTCATCTTCTGTGTGCGCGCTAACAACTGCTTGGACATATTGGCGAATCTTAGTCTTCTCTGCAAACGAGCGGGAAATTTCTTGTTGAGATTGGGCATTTGCATGCCAAGACCCTCTCATTGAGGCTTTATCAAGTTATTGATCTTTTCGGTTACCGGTGGTGCGTTTTTATCGGAATTTCTTCTCTTCATATAGGGTATTGGAGTGGTGTGGCGTATATTTTATGTTGTGGAAGCTTTGGTGGGTTGATTTGGTTTAGATTTAGGTTTAGGTTTAGGGTTAGGTTTAGGTTTAGGTTTTTGAGACTCAAAGTGTTTGATATTGGAGCTAACCTAATTATCGCGGAGAATTAGGTTTGATGGCTGATCGTAACTCGGTGGTCGCAAGACCAATCTGGATGAAGCAAGCTGAAGAGGCGAAACTGAAGAGCGAGGCTGAGAAAGATGCAGCGGCTAAAGCTGCTTTCGAAGCTACTTTTAGAGGCGTCGATAAGAATCCTGTAAAAGAAGCAGCATCCTCAGATAGTGATTTTGAGGATACTGAGGACTTGGAACACAAACCGATTGGGCCTGTTGACCCTGCTAGATGCACAGCAGCTGGAGCAGGTATAGCTGGTGGCACGGCCTGCGTGCCAGCTTCGTTTACTGTGGTAACTAAGGATGGCGATGGGAGGAAAGTTCCCCATGGTGGTGCGCAGATTAAAGTAAAGGCGTCGCCTGGTGTAGGCGTTGGTGGAACCGAGCAAGATGGCATTGTGAAGGATATGAATGATGGTACATATACGATCACTTATGTGGTGCCAAAAAGAGGGAATTATATGGTTAATATTGAGTGCAATGGAAGACCAATCATGGGTAGTCCATTCCCAGTGTTCTTTAGTGCAGGTATACTTGATGGTTATGTTATTTCTTGTAATCTTATTGTATACGTGCAATGATTTAATGTTTGATTTATCTATTAAGTAAATAGAATATATCCCAAGTCTGAATGCTTCTTTGGATTAGTTAGATATTTTGATGAAATGAAATGTTGACTTTATGCAGATATTAAGATTATCAATGGGAATGCACTATTTAGATACTGATACGGATACTTATTTAGATACTGATAACATTATTTCCTTGGCCATTGTTAATTGCTTGGCTTTCCCTCACGTGTTATTGATTTATCTGTTTCATTCAGTTTGCTATGCGATGTTTTCTGATGACCGAGCTGTTTGTTGTTACCAACCAGGCTCGAGTTCTGGTGGACTCCTGGGTTTAGCTCCTGCATCATCATTTCCAAATTTGGTCAATCAAAATATGCCCAACATGCCTAATTATTCAGGGTCTGTTTCGGGGGCATTTCCTGGTTTGATGGGAATGATTCCAGGTATTGTAGCTGGTGCTTCTGGTGGTGCTATCTTGCCTGGAATTGGAGCATCTCTTGGTGAAGTATGTCGAGAATACCTTAATGGTCAATGTGCGAAAACGGATTGTAAGTTAAATCATCCACCTCACAATTTGCTCATGACTGCAATAGCTGCAACAACCAGCATGGGAACTATCAGTCAAGTGCCCATGGCACCTTCTGCTGCTGCTATGGCAGCTGCTCAGGCCATTGTTGCTGCCCAAGCCCTTCAAGCCCATGCTGCTCAAGTGCAAGCACAACAAGCTCAGTCTGCGAAAGACTCTTCTGGTATGCTCAGATTTTTGTATATAATTCAATAGCTCTTGTTTTTTTTTTTTTTTTTTTTTTTTTTTTTTTTTTTTTTTTTTT